TATTTTTTTTCAATATATATTTGATAATATTATTATAAAAATCAAATTTTCTCTTTATATTAAAATTTATTAATTTTATTAATAAATATTTTTTATTTTATATTAAATAAGCTTTATAATTTATAATTTAAAATATATTTTTTTCAAATTTTTTAGATTTTTTTGAAAGTTGCTTTAATTATAAAAATTTATTAAACTATAAATTATAAACTTTAATTTGATATAATAATATAATAAAAAATATTTATTTTAAAATTATAAAGAGAGAATTTCAATTTTTACTATATTTTATTAACAAATTTAACCTTCTAATGCACAATTTTGACAACTACTATATATATATAAAATAACTGTAATTAAAATTAATTTTTCAATATGATTCATTTTTCATAATAAATAATTATTATTTTATATAAATTTAATTTTATAATAATTATAAATATTTTAATATTTTAAATAAAAATATAATGTTGTGAATTTTAGTTAATATTATTTAAAACTATAAATTTAATACAATTCATTCTCTTAAAACTTTAAGTGCTTTTTTATTTATCCAAAATATCGGATATTTTATATATATTATTCTCTATCTTGTTATTAATGAACAATAGTTTATGATAGAAATTATAATTTGTTGAAGAATTGAAGCTTTTTGAAGCATAATCATTATATCAAGTCTGTAAATTTGTATAAGAGAATTATTGTGACTTGTTCAAAAAATTTTTATCGTTATTTATAAAAATCATGTGATTTATAAAGATTCAAAGCTGATCTGTCATGGTAATGAACTGTAAGAATGCAAGTCTCTATTTTACAACTGTGAGCAATGAATTATATAGCAACAAAGATATGTGTATAACATATGAATATATTATGAATTTCATTAATTCAACGAGTAATCTAATTCTTAAAGAAACAAAAAAAATCTTTAGGACAAATAAAATGAATATTTTTAAACCCACCGCTACAACTATTCATTTCCACTATTTCTTAGCGACTCAAAAATAAATAAACACATAAGAAAATACCGATAAATATAATAGCAGGAATGAATATGCCAATAGATCCTCCTGAAGCTGCAATACTTTGTAATATAGAGAAACAACTTCCAGCAACTACGAATCCATGATACGTGGCCTGCCAAGCAGCTGCAAGACTACCAGCTGCTATTCCTTCGAGAGTGAATCCTATACAAGAAAGAATAGGGGGAAAACAGAATATTATGACTAATACAATGATAATACCGATTACTGTGGCAATAAGCGCGCGATGCTCAATTACGAAATTGCAGACGGAATCCCAGGCTTCAGATATTTTCTCGTTTATTTCGTTGAA